TCGGCCGATAATGATCGGCGGCCAATCGATCGGAGCATCGGACATTTTGACCGGCAGGTTTTGAATTTACCGGTTTTTACAACATTTGAACAGCTAAAAACCGGTAATTACCGGCGAACGGAAACCCTGGATAACACAGTAAGTTGGTTGAAAACCTCCAAGATTCAAAGGCTTTATTTTCTGATGCAAAAGAGCTACAGCGTAGTTGTCAGTGCTCGAGACACAGCAGTCCTCCATGGCGCTGGCTTTACCGCCGTTCCAGCTTGTGCTGGAACGGCGAAAATGTACTTTCTGTAGAAAATGATATACTTCATGGCTTCATAAATGCAGGGTTGGACACCTGTCAACTTTTTCGAGGTTTTGAAACCAATCTAGGTAACACATTTGTGTAGATCTGGGTACAATTTTAGGTGATTCTGGCCTGTAATACATTTTCCCAACTGAGAAAGACTTCCTTAGAGCTGACAGTGTGTACACCTAGCTGCGGTAAGCTCTTCAGCACATTTGTTTTATAAAAGGTGGTCAGAAATACCTTTCCGGTCCACTGTATGTCATAGTGCTCTAGTGAGGGAACTATGAGATCACATTGTAGTTATCCTCCTCAGGCCATGTTCGACGACTGATCCAACCCAGTTCCAGATGCTAGAGTACACCAAGTAGCGATTTAAAACAAAATAACTCCTATATTCTCCCAGACAGACCTGAAAAAGGTGCTGACGCATAAACCTATGAAAAAAAAGAAGCCTTTAAACCCGGTGTGCGAGTTGGACTTTTACAACCCTCGGCGCCACATAAACTCAGCCTATTGTCTTTATACTTTAACAAGCCAATCATGTTCAAAGCTCAAGCCCACCATTGTGCCGCCACATTTATAAAAGCACAGTGGGAGATCTTCTCTCCCATGAATAGGAAATGAAGGCACACACATTTAAAGCTGGTGAGTTTTAAGGGAAAAAAGTAATCGCTCCCTTCCTTTTCCCCTTGCTACTTTCCCCCTTTGTGTTACCCACCATCGGAGGCTCAGCACAGATGTGGAGACGGGTGTGTTTTGTTTGTGCTGTTGCTCACCGGGCTGATGATAGGAATGTGTTAGATTAAAGGAGCGGAGGGAGGCGGGGGGGGCGGGGTGCGGTGGCTGGGGCCGAGGGGAGATTTCTTAGGGACTGTATTTTACATAATGTATGCACCGCGTCTGTGCACACTCGCCAGCCACCGAGCCTGTTAGGGACTCCTAATTGCTAGCATGGGTCACCTGGTCGCCTTTGGTGATGGCCATTACTTGGAGACACACATGCAGATACATACACACATTCCCCCGTGTGGTATTGTCCATCTGAAATGTGAAGTATACAGTAAAGGATGTTTCTATATGCTCGTTATATGGAAAAAAGTTGTGGGGGTTATCATTAACAAACAGAAATGTGGAGCTCTTCCTATAGAAATGGATGCCCAACTAAATTCACCAACTACTGTAGGCGTAAGGACACAGGTCAGGGAGGTTAGCCATAACTCAAATACCCCTCTGACAGATTTACACTGCTGGCTGAGATGGAGATCTTGCCTCAGGGTCAACCGTCAGTCAAGTTGGGACTGCATGGCCGAGTGACCACAAGGAAGATACTCCTACAAGTGACACATGATATTCACCCAGGGTCAGACCCACCATTAAATCTTGTATCTTGTTTACCTTAAAGATCCCACCTCCTAACAACACAGAAAACATACAGCCACTGTCGCCAGGTTTTAGATCTTTGTTGGAGAATTCCTTTGACACTTCTGCACACATGTACTTTATCCGTGTAGCTGAAGTCAAAATAAAGCTAAATGCCCATAACTTGGTTCAATCATTATCATTTTCCTCAGTGGGAAATATTTTGCAATCCCCTGAAAAACTCTGCAGCTTTGTTTCACTTCACATGACCTACTTTCGTGTGTGACATGATGAAGTATCATGTTTGTTCTTTCAATAATACTCTACGGTTGTGACCATCCATTATTCATTAGCAGGCTTGAAAAGATGATTGTAAAAAAATACGAAAAATATTTAAAGAAAAACATTTTTATTTTCTATTACGCATTTTTTTGTGAATAAATAGATTATAATGGTGTGCTGAAAGATTAAGGCTCCACACAAAACACTGTCCGAATTCCCCATTTGACTTTTTGCTACTGCCGGACGCATTGTCGCATCACACAAAGCTAAGTGTTCCATTGTCTTTGTGCCTGCAGCCTCTAGAGTTGCAGTAAAAAAAAAGACTTGCGACAAATTTTGATTAAACAAAAAATTGACCTATTTGCCGTTGTTTTATCTTGCAGAAAGTGGGAACAATTCAATACCCATATGACACCATCCCTTCTGTGTGGCGTGCTGTTGACAGAGGGAAGATAGAGATAAGAATAAATGGAGCCACATAGGAGCCAATATCGATGACAAAACAGAGTGTAGAGTTTGTTTATGGAGTTTAAGAGACCTCAGCCTTGGGTTACATTTCCACAAACACGAGGACACGAGGACAAAGAAGTATTTCATTTGTCTGCTGCTGTCATGGCATTATGCGCACCTGTTGTGACTGTTTGCTTAGATTTCCTTTAGTTTTTACCTTATCAAGCAGACATCCACAACAAGCATGCACTTCAGGCCTTCATCTAACCCCCGCATGGTGCTCTAAACCAGAAAGTAATGACGGCAAACATGCTTCTTCACCAAATTCACTGAACCCCCGCTGTGAGACAGGGATAAGCCGGCAATAAACAATCGTCAGACACGCTGAACAATTCTCACTCTTAACAACAGAAGTCTAAATTGGAACATCTCTTAGTGTGCAGAAAACCTTGCAGCTGCGTCCCCTTCACAGTGTGAACGGTGCTCCAATTTTGTAGAGAATTTAAAATGGGAAAACCCTGCATTTCCCCTGGATATAGTGTTTCAAAGCAAAGCCTGCGTCTCCCAGAACCCCCTTCCCTCCACAGCTTTTGTATCTTCGGCATCAGGTCATTTCCTGACGGCATTGCCACTTCATTAGCTCCTTCTCCACGGCCTACATGTGAGTGCATCCATGTTGGTCTCGGCGGCCCTCATCGTCCCGCCTACCCCTGCTCGTTCAAAAACACCCTGGGATACCACAGGAGCATGTTCATTTACATATCCCCATCCCAGATTTCACAAAAAAGCCAACAGCAGCTCCCCAAGGCAGAGTGCCTTCGCCTTTTGGAAACCCCTAAGGGCAGTTTCAATGATGGATGTATCTCTTATAGCCAAAGGCTTCCACTCAGGTGGTTTCTTGTGTATCTTCAGGTTCCTTTATCATTTTTCATGTCAAGTGAGCTCCCATATGCTACTCCCAAGAGGCTGCATAAGCCACATGGATAAACATTAAAATAGTTGTAGCATCAAGTTTGATTAAAACTATTTTAAACACTGAAAATGAAAGTTGAAAACACACTGCCAACATTGAATATTTTTACAATAATTTATTTTGGCATAACTCATGTCTAACTGAGCTGTCACCAGTTGCTAACTTGTCACTTTGCAGTTTGAACGTAGAGATGGATATGAAAACAGACACCCAATTCTGTGGATAATGTTCTTTGATCTGCGCTGATGCCACTTCTTGAATGCTAATTTCTAGTTTCTAGGCAAACACATATATAAATGGAGACTATTAGGTTTGAAAGTCCGCTAATTAATCAGTGTCTTTGCACTAAATCGTAAGTAATATTGGACGTTAGCATCAGCTGATGGTCTAAGAATGTTAATATAATTGATTTGAATAATAATAACAATACGCTTGAAAAGGTTGTATTTAAGGGCCTGTTGGAAAGATAAAAGGGGTTTTGACCGTCTTATATGGTAAATACCAAAGTGGGCTTCATAAATTCCAAAATGTGTCAATTCCCAACATCTTGATGGCTAATTTATTAGCTACAGACTATAAACTGATGGCTTCGCCAGCATTGCTGTCCGTCAAGGTCTGTAGCCTAAATGGATTACTCAGGAGACTATTTTGGCAAACGAGCAGTTTATTAACCAACAAGAGAAGTCTCGACCCTTG